CACCCTCCCCCCGACACTGACACTCCCACTGACACTCACACTGACACTCACACTCACACTGACACTGACACTCACACTGACACTCACACTCACACTGACACTCACACCGACACTGACACTGACACTCAAACTGACACTCACACTCACACTGACACTCACACGCACACTGACACTCACACGCACACTGACACTGACACTCACACTGACACTCACACTGACACTCACACTGACACTGACAGTCACACTGACACTGACAGTCACACTGACACTGACAGTCACACTGACACTGACAGTCACACTGACACTGACAGTCACACTGACACTGACAGTCACACTGACACTGACAGTCACACTGACACTGACAGTCACACTGACACTGACAGTCACACTGACACTGACAGTCACACTGACACTGACAGTCACACTGACACTGACAGTCACACTGACACTGACAGTCACACTGACACTGACAGTCACACTGACACTGACAGTCACACTGACACTGACAGTCACACTGACACTGACAGTCACACTGACACTGACAGTCACACTGACACTGACAGTCACACTGACACTGACAGTCACACTGACACTGACAGTCACACTGACACTGACAGTCACACTGACACTGACAGTCACACTGACACTGACAGTCACACTGACACTGACAGTCACACTGACACTGACAGTCACACTGACACTGACAGTCACACTGACACTGACAGTCACACTGACACTGACAGTCACACTGACACTGACAGTCACACTGACACTGACAGTCACACTGACACTGACAGTCACACTGACACTGACAGTCACACTGACACTGACAGTCACACTGACACTGACAGTCACACTGACACTGACAGTCACACTGACACTGACAGTCACACTGACACTGACAGTCACACTGACACTGACAGTCACACTGACACTGACAGTCACACTGACACTGACAGTCACACTGACACTGACAGTCACACTGACACTGACAGTCACACTGACACTGACAGTCACACTGACACTGACAGTCACACTGACACTGACAGTCACACTGACACTGACAGTCACACTGACACTGACAGTCACACTGACACTGACAGTCACACTGACACTGACAGTCACACTGACACTGACAGTCACACTGACACTGACAGTCACACTGACACTGACAGTCACACTGACACTGACAGTCACACTGACACTGACAGTCACACTGACACTGACAGTCACACTGACACTGACAGTCACACTGACACTGACAGTCACACTGACACTGACAGTCACACTGACACTGACAGTCACACTGACACTGACAGTCACACTGACACTGACAGTCACACTGACACTGACAGTCACACTGACACTGACAGTCACACTGACACTGACAGTCACACTGACACTGACAGTCACACTGACACTGACAGTCACACTGACACTGACAGTCACACTGACACTGACAGTCACACTGACACTGACAGTCACACTGACACTGACAGTCACACTGACACTGACAGTCACACTGACACTGACAGTCACACTGACACTGACAGTCACACTGACACTGACAGTCACACTGACACTGACAGTCACACTGACACTGACAGTCACACTGACACTGACAGTCACACTGACACTGACAGTCACACTGACACTGACAGTCACACTGACACTGACAGTCACACTGACACTGACAGTCACACTGACACTGACAGTCACACTGACACTGACAGTCACACTGACACTGACAGTCACACTGACACTGACAGTCACACTGACACTGACAGTCACACTGACACTGACAGTCACACTGACACTGACAGTCACACTGACACTGACAGTCACACTGACACTGACAGTCACACTGACACTGACAGTCACACTGACACTGACAGTCACACTGACACTGACAGTCACACTGACACTGACAGTCACACTGACACTGACAGTCACACTGACACTGACAGTCACACTGACACTGACAGTCACACTGACACTGACAGTCACACTGACACTGACAGTCACACTGACACTGACAGTCACACTGACACTGACAGTCACACTGACACTGACAGTCACACTGACACTGACAGTCACACTGACACTGACAGTCACACTGACACTGACAGTCACACTGACACTGACAGTCACACTGACACTGACAGTCACACTGACACTGACAGTCACACTGACACTGACAGTCACACTGACACTGACAGTCACACTGACACTGACAGTCACACTGACACTGACAGTCACACTGACACTGACAGTCACACTGACACTGACAGTCACACTGACACTGACAGTCACACTGACACTGACAGTCACACTGACACTGACAGTCACACTGACACTGACAGTCACACTGACACTGACAGTCACACTGACACTGACAGTCACACTGACACTGACAGTCACACTGACACTGACAGTCACACTGACACTGACAGTCACACTGACACTGACAGTCACACTGACACTGACAGTCACACTGACACTGACAGTCACACTGACACTGACAGTCACACTGACACTGACAGTCACACTGACACTGACAGTCACACTGACACTGACAGTCACACTGACACTGACAGTCACACTGACACTGACAGTCACACTGACACTGACAGTCACACTGACACTGACAGTCACACTGACACTGACAGTCACACTGACACTGACAGTCACACTGACACTGACAGTCACACTGACACTGACAGTCACACTGACACTGACAGTCACACTGACACTGACAGTCACACTGACACTGACAGTCACACTGACACTGACAGTCACACTGACACTGACAGTCACACTGACACTGACAGTCACACTGACACTGACAGTCACACTGACACTGACAGTCACACTGACACTGACAGTCACACTGACACTGACAGTCACACTGACACTGACAGTCACACTGACACTGACAGTCACACTGACACTGACAGTCACACTGACACTGACAGTCACACTGACACTGACAGTCACACTGACACTGACAGTCACACTGACACTGACAGTCACACTGACACTGACAGTCACACTGACACTGACAGTCACACTGACACTGACAGTCACACTGACACTGACAGTCACACTGACACTGACAGTCACACTGACACTGACAGTCACACTGACACTGACAGTCACACTGACACTGACAGTCACACTGACACTGACAGTCACACTGACACTGACAGTCACACTGACACTGACAGTCACACTGACACTGACAGTCACACTGACACTGACAGTCACACTGACACTGACAGTCACACTGACACTGACAGTCACACTGACACTGACAGTCACACTGACACTGACAGTCACACTGACACTGACAGTCACACTGACACTGACAGTCACACTGACACTGACAGTCACACTGACACTGACAGTCACACTGACACTGACAGTCACACTGACACTGACAGTCACACTGACACTGACAGTCACACTGACACTGACAGTCACACTGACACTCACATTGACACTCACACTCACACTCACACTGACACTGACACTCACACTGACTCACACTCACATTCACACTGACACTGACACTCACACTGACACTCAAATTGACACTCACTCTTCATCAGGTTTGGATAAATGTAGCATTGCATCAGTGTCTCAGCAATGAGTGCTCTGCAGTGAATGGGTGCCGTCAGAATGAGAGTCCAAACAGCTGATAAAAACATCACAATAATCCACAAGTAATCCACAGCACTCCAGTCCATCAGTTAACATCTGGAGAAGACTAAAGCTGCATGTTTGGAACAAACAAATAGATAGAGGACTTATATTTTAACTGAAAGCAATGGTTTAACAATCTTAATGATGGTTTTGGCGCCCATTCGCTGCAGAAGATCCATTGGTAAGCAAGTGATGTAATCCTGCATTTCTCTAAACTCATCTAGGCCTACATCTTGGACTAAATTTTCAGTAAAATTATAATTTTTAGGTGAACTATTCATTTAAAAGGAACATTTACTTAGTTTAAAGAGTATTTTAATCATCTAAAGAACTTTTTTTTCACTATAAAGAACTTTTTTTTTTCCATGGATAGAACCATCAGTGCCAGTAAAGAACCTTTATTCTTAAAAGTGTTGCACAAAAGGTTCTTTGTGGAACCAAAAATGGTTCTTCAATTGTGGTTGACATACGGAAACCCATAATACTGTTTATTGATTTGAAGTTTCAGGTGTTTCTTTTGACTTAATGATCGTCTTTACCATAGTGTCCTTCAAGTAACGGCTAACACATCTGACACGCTTCGAGAGGAACGGAGCTTCCCTACATGGATTTACTTCAAGAGATTGAGGAGCTCTGGAAACATTCGTCTTGATTGGTCTCGAACCCTCAGAATTTGTCTGATCTGATCTGATTTGGACAATGGATGATTTAACCCCTCCTTAGCAGACATTATTGATCTTGCTGAAACTGTGCTGGACAGAAAACGTTAAAAGAAGCACAAACAAAAACCCAAAGACGGGCATGTTGGACAACTCAAAGGTCTCCATCGAGCTGGGTATCGCCAGGCTCGGGACCGTCGCCGAACCCCAGAAACCACGTACATCATCGAGGGATGAGAACCGTCTTAGCTCTCGCAATCCTGACGAGGAACGCAACAATCGCACCAGAAATGCACTTAGCAATACTTCTTCTCAGAACATCCCAGGCACGTCCACAGACTGGGCTGAACCTGATGGTGTTGACAGGAGACGCAGTTTGGCGACGTTATCTGAGACCTCGAGGACTTCCAATGCCAACACTGAGGTTTCTCAGAGCTCTCACAGCAGGTATATAGTGGATGATGAACCGAGCGAATCCCGTCGGACGTCCGGCCGCGGCGCGTGCTCCTGTTTCCGTGCGGTGAACATGGCGTTTCTGCGCTGTCTGGAGGAGACGCCGCTGCTGGTGTCTGGAGTAGTGCTGGCCATCCTCTTCTGCGTGACCATCATCATCATCATCCCCTCCACCGGCCGGGTAAGAGCCGACTGACACGCTTGTGTTGTTTGCAAAAAATGCATAATTTTGTGTGCATCCCTGCTGGAAAAAACCTGATCCTACCTGATTAAGGTGATCACTATAGGGAACAATTCACCTAGAAATGAAAGTGTGCTCACCTGCAGGCCATCCCAGATTAGGATGAGTTTGTTTCTTCATCAGGTTTGTAGAAATGTAGCATTGCATCAGTGTCTCAGCAATGGATGCTCTGCAGTGAATGGGTGCCGTCAGAATGAGAGTCCAAACAGCTGATAAAAACATCACAATAATCCACAAGTAATCCACAGCACTCCAGTCCATCAGTTAACATCTGGAGAAGACAAAAGCTGAAACAAATCCAGCATTAAGACGTTTATAATTAAAATAGGAGTCCATAATCCATAATAACTATTCCTCCAGTGAAAAGTGCATCTGCTGTTGTCTCTCACATCAAAATCCAGCCACATATTAGTTTAGAGCCGTTTAAACGCTGCTTGATCTGTGCAGATTTCTCTCCTGATTCAGACTAGGGCTGTGCAGTTAATTGAAATACAGTTTTGATTTCAATTTCGGACTCCAACGATTATAAAAATACAATAATCGAGATAAAACGATTATTACGCCCCATTCCAGCAGTGCGCTTTCGCTCCTGCATAAAAGGTCAATTTTAATGCAAATCAGTAAAATCATGTAACGTGACTTTTGCAAAATGGGACGTGCTGGAAATGTTTATTAAAGTTGATTAGATTTATTCATGTTTTTAAAAGCACGAAAGAAAACTTCCTCAGGAGGATTTCTGTGCCTGCGCTCAGAGACGGAGCAGAACACACATGTAAAGTCATCTTTTAGCATCTTTTTGTCAGCGGCACTTAGTGATTATTCACGTAAACCCTCATAGGTTATGTAATAAATTAACATATGAACAACTTGTGGATTATTGTGATGTTTTTATAAGCTGTTTGGACTCTCATTCTGATGGCACCCATTCACTGCAGAGCATCCATTGCTGAGACACTGATGCAATGCTACATTTCTCCAACCCTGATGAAAAAACAAACTCCTGGCCTGAGGATGAGCACATTCTGATGAACTCTTCCTTTAATCTAGCTTCAGCAGTGTTTTCCAGCAGGTGTGTGTAACGCTTGAGTGTCTAAATGAAGTGTTTGTTTCTCTCACGCATCCAGAGCCTCAGCGTTCACGTGGCGGCGTTTGCAGTGGTGTGTGTGGTGGTGTGTGTTTGCGTTTCGCTTCTGCTGTGTTTGCCGTGTTTGCCGGTGGTTCGGCGAGGAGAAACGCCTCTGGCGCTCTTCATCTGGTCCGTGCTCTTCATCATCGCCTTCGTCTTCATCTTCACCGGAGGTGTTGTCACGGCCTGGGAGCAGGTCAGCTGAGGATGCTCGTTTAGATTCATTTACACTTTAATTTAGTCCTAGTCCTTATGACAAGGATCCTATTTTTTTATTTTTTTTTTAAAGCCAGAAACATGCTTTCTGCCATTACACAGATCTTGAAGATAAATGTAATTATCTCATTTTAAGTACTTTTAGGTGTGGCTTCTAGACAAGGAAAAGTCATGTAAATTATTTAAATGTAATCTAATATCTGAAGATATACAGAGTTCTGGCATGAAACTCTAGATGGCACAGTCCGATAGGTCTAACTCAATCTGACCTAATGACATCATCATCACATGGCTCAGCTGATTGGTTCTCTCCTGTATCGGTAGCCAATGAGCTCGCTGCTCAACATTCAAATATATGACTAGTGCTTGTCGTAGCAGTTGCAGCTTGCTTCAGAAACCCTCCACCTTCCCCAGCTCCACCTGTATAGATCTGCTACAAGGTGATTCATGCATGCTATACAGGGGTTATTTCATGCATGTTATATTTGCAGCAGCATTTCTTACATGCTCACAGCAGCATGTTGTGGAAGTATTGGCAGTAACAAGTCTCGGTACTTGCTCTGCCGCAGCAGTAGCAGCAGCGTAGCAGATTTATTCCACCAAGACCAAATACATTAACATTGTCATATACATTACCATGCCAATCCCTCCGAGAGTTGTCATGACAGAAATACAGAGTTCTGGTTATGCAAAGCTGAGAAATATTTTCATTACAAATTGCTAGTATAAAATATTTGTTAACATCCTTAATGCTCATCCAGGAAATCAGGAAACTCTGAAAGCGGAGGGTTCCTAAAGAAGCATGAAACTCTGCTTTTCTACATTTTAATCATTTAACATTTGAATAGTACAGTTTTAATAGTCCATCATTTAGCTTTGCATGTATTATGAACATGCCTGATTTGAACAAGATTTGAGTGCAAAGATTAAAAAGTAATACATTCAGTTTTTGTTTTGTTTTAATTATATAGTACATCAAGCTAAACTATATTCATATGAGAAATGTTGCCTAAAAATAATTTTTTTATAAATGTTTGTAATTAATGTAAACGAAAAGTAATAATTTTTATAATGGTTTTAGTTGTAGTTGTCTATAATAACTTTTTCTTCATCAGGTCGCGTTCTTCCTCTTCCTGTCGCTGTCCGCTCTCTCTCACACACACACACACACACACACACACACACATATATGTAAACACACTAACACACACCTGAGTGGTTGATGGCTGGTCAGAGGAAATGTTATATGCAAACGGTGACCTTCAGCTGACGCCAGATGATTTTCCTGCCGCTGCACGTAGTCAAAACCTCCCTCTCTGTGTGTGTGTGTGTGTGTGTCAGCTGGTGGCGAACGCTGTGCTGTTCATGTGTGTTAACTGCGTGGGTGTGTTTCATCTGTGGCACACTGAACACGCTCACAGAAAGTCCAGCAAGAAGCGGGAGGACTTCAGCAGAAACCGCGCCACACAGGCCAAGCAGAAGCGCGACCAGGTACAGATTTACATACTGTACTTCATTCAGAGCGCAGAGTGTGTGTCTCCGCAGGGGGTTCTGAGCGTCTGCATGTTGCTTTAGGCTTTGGAATAGAGCTGAAATATTACAGTTGTTCTCCATTGCTAACACACTATAACTGATTCATTTGGCCCAATTTTCCAAACCATTCATACAGTTCTCGAAACAAAGACACGATTCTCAAAACTTTTAACACATTTCACCTGTTTGCACACACGCTCCAATTTGCTCAGTGTTTTCTGCAAAACTCTACACAAAAACACCATCATTTTGCACAGGTTTAACCATGTCCTCATTCAGAAAACACAAACGCACAATATAATTAACTCAAGCATCACAAAATGAACTCAAACAGCACACATACAATATAATTACAGTAGCAGCAGTGCTGCAGATGAGAGAACTTTCATTATTCTATGTACAGTAAATACTGTAGCACATGTTGTACACCCTCAAACTCATTGCTGTTGAACTGATTTGTAGCCAAGTATGTACTGTATTTGTGCAGAACTGAGAGACGGCTGTCTAGGGGAGGCAGAGAAGTCTTTTGTCAGAAGACTTAGAAACTGCTATAACAAATAAGGATACTACCAATACTGTAATGCAGATTGGCAGAGGATGCTGAATGAATGAATGAATGAATTAATTAATTAATGTATTTATTTATTTACAGTAACTGACAGTATATTCCAATGTGTGTTTACTGTATATTCTGTTGTTTGGTCTTTGAACTTTTATCTTCTAGTGCTTTTCATTTACTGTAAAATCTCTTTACAGTAGTGTAATGACAGTAAACTTTTCTTACAGTTCAATGCTGAATTTTACTGTATCTGCATCCTCTATTCATGTTGTATACTGTAACAGTGATTGACTAGCAAAAGGATTCCTGTGTTCTCTAGGCAGTGAAGTAGTCTGTGTATTTGACAGGTTTGTGTGTCATCTGAGGCCAAAGTTTGATTCTGACAAAAGAGAACATGTTTTTGACTATTTGATTTTGACCTGGAAGTTTGAAGTTTGCACAAGTTGCTGTGTAGTTTTGAGATTGTGTTTATAGTTGTGATAAAATGGTGAATTGTTTCATGAATTGAGCAATCGAGAAAAACTGTAAATAAATAATGCATTAATAATAAACACAGTTTTTAATCGAGTAACTCTTGTGTGCAGGAGCATCTGCTGCTGTCGGTGCTGCCGCGATACATCGCCATGGAGCTGAAGACGGAAATCGTTAAGCGTCTGTCGGCTAAATGCAGCGCCGAAGAGAACCGACCCAACTTCCACAGTCTCTACATACGACAGCACAGAGACATCAGGTGAGAACACAGACACACGCACACACACGCACACTCACACACACACACACACCTACCCCTCACAGGAAACTTTGTGCTATTTCAGATTTTCAATACACTCCATTCTGTGTGATTTATAAGCGTTTTGAAAAGTGGGGACATGGGGTAATGTCCTGAAAAGTCACCTTCTCCTTGTAATACCTATGTCATACCTTTGTCATTATACAAATTTATGTCCTCATTTGTCACAAAAACGCACACACACTCACACACACACAGAAAAACACTCACACAAAAACACTTAGAAATACACACTCTCTCACACACATTCAATAACACCTAAATAAAAAGACAGAAATACACATGCACACAAAACACACACACTCATGCAAAAACACAAAAAACACAGAAACACACACACAGAAAAACACGTAGAAATACACAAGTGCACTGATTACACACAAGCCCAAAGCCCAGCCCCTCACAGCCAGCGAGTGTAGTGTATTAAAGTGATATTTTGTCTCTGCAGTATCCTGTACGCTGATATCGTGGGCTTCACGCACCTCTCCAGCACCTGCACACCTGAGGAGCTCGTGGCCGTCCTCAACAAACTCTTCGGCCGCTTCGACGACATCGCTAAGGTGTGCAGATCTGCCTTTCTGCTCTTCTCAGTGTTTCTCTTGGGTTTATGTACTCAGCTCTTTCTCTTCTCTGACTTCTCTCTGCAGAAGAACGGCTGTCTGCGTATTAAAATCCTGGGCGACTGTTATTACTGCGTGTCAGGTCTCCCTGACCCCATCTCTCATCACGCTTGCAACTGCGTTCAGATGGGTCTGGACATGTGCACGGCCATAAAGTGAGTCCCACCATCCAAAAATCATCATCTCAGTATCAGTCATAAGACTGTATAGTAGTATCAATAGTATCGTCGATAGACTATGATTGTTTTAAATTATTGTAATATTTTCTGTTTTCAGTTTAGTTGAAATTTTTGTAATGTGTTGTAATTGTGTGTTTTGCATTTTTTATAATTTTTTAAATTATTATTATTATTATTATTATTATATTGCTAATAATACTTTTAAATGATTATTTTATTATTTTAATACTTTTTAATTAACTCTTTATTTTTATTAATGCTCATATTCTGTTTCCACTTTAGTTCAATTTTTAGTCATTTTTAGTCCATTTTTATCGTTGTGTTAATAATAGTGCTGTCAGATGATTAATCGCGATTAATCGCATCCAAAATAAATGTTTTTGTTTGCATAATATATGTGTGTGTGCTGTGTATATTA